CCCCCCCCTTTTTTTTGAAGATTTTATTTATTTATTTATTTGAGAGAGTGTGTGCAAGAGCACAAGCTAGGGGAGGAGCAAAGGGAGAGGGAGAAGAAGTACACTCTCTACTGAGCAGGGAGCCCAATGCAGGGCTTGATCCCAAGGTCCTGGGTTCATGACCTGAGCAGAGGGTAGACACTTAACTGACTGAGCCACCTAGGCACCACTCCTTTTTATTTTTTTGTAAAGATTGTATTTATTCATTTGAGAGAGAGAGCACAGGTAGAGGGAAAGGGGCAGGGGGAAAAGCAGGCTCCCAATTGAGCAGAGAGCCCAATGTGGGGCTCAATCCCAGGACCCCAGGATCATGACCTGAACTGAAGAGAGATACTTAATTGACTGAGCTATACAGGCACCCCGCATCATTTCTTATTCTCATTGTCTCCATTCCCATTTGACTGATTTAGTAGTTAAATAGGCAACTGTTTTAAAATTATGTTTTAAAGTTAACTTGAGGGGTGCCTAGATAGCTCAGTCAGTTAAGTGTCTGCCTTTGGCTCAGATCATGGTCCCAGGGTCCTGGGATTAAGCCCCGAGTCAGGGAGTCTGCTTCTTCTTCTCCTTCTGCCCCTCCACCTTGTTCGTGCAAAATAAATAAATGAATCTTTTTTTAAAAAATTTTATTTATTCATGAGAGATACACAGAGAGAGGCGGAGACATAGGCAGAGGGAGAAGCAGGATCCCTATGGAGAACTCGATGCAGAACTCGTTCCCAGGACCCCAGAATCATGACCTGAGCCAAAGGTAGATGCTCAACCACTGAGCCACCCAGGTGCCCAAAAATCTTTTTTTTTTTTTAAAGCTAACTTGATGATTAAGAGAGACATTATTTCTGCTTTACATTTTGATACGTGCTATTGTGTCCCTCAAAAAGATATGTTGAAGTCCTAACTCTTGATAAACCTGAATGTGACCTTATTTGGATATAGTCTTTACAGATAGAACCAAGTAAAGATGAGATCATATTGGATTAGAGTGGGCACTGGTGTCCTTTTTTTTTTTTTTTTTTTTTTTTTGGCACTGGTGTCCTTAAAGGAAGGCTGTGAACAGACACAGACGCATTCAGAAAGAAGGCAGCCATGTGGAGATGGAGGCAGAAACTGGAGTGATGCAACTATAAACCAAGGAGCGCCAAGGATTGCAGACAACCATTAGAAGCTAGAAAGAGGCAAGGGAGGATCTTCCTGGAGCCTTCTGAGGGAGCATGTCTCTGCTGACAGGTTGGTTTTGAACTACTGGCCTTCAGAACTGTGAGAGAATAAATTTGGTTTTTGAAAGCCACCCAGTTTGTGATACTTTGTTATAGCAGTCTTAGGAAACTAATACAAGTTCTTTCATATGCAGTCATCTTTTTTTTTTTCCTCTTTTTTTTCTAGTTTGGCTACTTATTGCATACCCAGCACTTATCAAAGTTCTTGGCAACATAATGGGAGCTCAAGTCACACATGTTGACTGAAAGAAAATTGATTATGTATGTGCACAATCCTTATGTAGAAGTATACTTTCTGATCTATGAGCCCCTTGCAATAGTCTATAAAAATAAATCCATGCATGTAGACTGAATAAATAATACTTATCACATAAAGGTACTCCTATATTAATTCAAGAGCCATGCAAATAGACAAAACTAACAACTGACAAAATTCCTATTAAAAAGTCAAAATGAAATTACATTTTTAATAATAGGAAAATTTTCAAAAGGATCAATCTGTCTTCTCCCCTCTGCATTCTCTCTAAAATTGTCAAAATTGGTTAGGCATACCAGTAACATATCACAGCCACTGCCACAGTCAAATCCTCAACTATAGATTCTGATCTGTATAAGAGTCAATATCATTGACAAAGAAGGATATGACCCATTATCTGTATGGATGTGTATATATACATATATATATTATATATATAATATGTGTGTATATATATAGTATGTGTGTATATAATATATATATAATATATATATCTTGCTGCTATCAATATGTAGGAGTCACTCAAATTTGTGAAACAGATGGATACAGGTGGAATTATGAAGTCTCCACCTTTTCCAAATGCACTTTAGTAGCCTTTTTCTCTTCATTGTCGAAGTCAGTTTATAATCCTATTCTACAGAGAGCTAGCTCTGTACCAGCCCTTAGGACAGTGTTTCTCAAAGTGTACTCCAAGGACCACCTGCATTAGAATTACCTTATAAAGCTAGTACAATTAAAAACAGTGTGGTATTGGTACACAAAGAGACAGATATAGTCATGTCACAGAAAAAAAAAATTTGGAGTTAAACCCAAATCCATACAGAATCTAGAATAGGATAAAAGGAGCAATTTAAATCTGGGCAATGATAAAAATAAGGAATAAATTATTCAATAAAGGGCACTGGGGGAAACTGCATAGCCATCTGAAAAGAATTTGCAACTAAATTCTACATCTTATTTCTAGAATAAATTCTATCTGGATTAAAGATTTAAATATGTTTTTTAAAATCAATAAAGATACTATAAGAAAAAAAAAGATACTATAAGAATCTATGGGATAATTTCTCATAATCTCAGAATGCGGAAGGCCTTTCTAAGTATAACATAAAACCCAGAAATCACTATGGGCCCCCAACATAAAATATTTATGAATTCAATAACAGTTACATTTTTATTAAAAGCTATACTGTAGAAGCCACCAAAAGGGAAGCCAAAAGATAAAACACAAGCTGGGGAAAATATCTGCAATTCATATTCCAACCAGAAGCTTAATTTCTCTTATAGATAAAGAGACCCTACAAACCAGTAAAATAAAGATCAAAAGATCCAGCAGAAAAATGGTCAAAGGAAACAAACAGGCTTTACACACACACACACAAATACAAATGACTCTCAAACATGTTCATATATGCTCATCCTCCTCTCATGGTAAAAGAATTATAAATTTAAACAGCAATGAGATACTATTTTGACCTATCCTATTGGCAAAGTTAAAAAGTTTGATAGTACAGTTTGTTGGCTAGAGTTTATGAACAAATGGTATTCATGCTCGTAGGAGTATAAATTGATAGAACTTCTGTGAAGGGTAATTTGGCAATATCTATCCGAATCACAAAATCACTTACCATTTGGCCCAATAATTCCACTTCTAAGAATTTATCCAGATATAATCACTTATGTGGGAAATGACATGTGTACATGGTACTTGTTGCTATGCTGTTTACGGCTGAAAGGGATCAGAAACAACCTGCATGTTCATTAGCAGAGTATTGTTAAATGAATTATGGTACGCTCCCACCATGGGAAACTAAGTAGTCATTAAAAGAATGAGAAAACTTTATATACTAGTATGGTACACTCTCAAAGAAACATTGTTAAGTGAAAAAGAAAACACACACACACACACAAAAAAAAACCCAAGGTTCAAAACACTGGGCGTGGTATGCTATCATGTGAATGAAAAGGGGAAGAAAATATGTATGTTGTTTTTGCTTAATATGCATTAAAGCAGATATTTCTTTGAAAGATATACAAGAAAAATTGCAGATCCCTAGACTGTAATCTCTTCCCCAGATCTACTAAGGCAGAATCTGTGCACGCAGTGGTTCTGAAGTTTACTAAAGTTTGATAAGCACTAATTTTATGGAGGAAAAATCTGAGAAGTACTTTGAGATTTGCTGCCCCAGTTCCAACAGGTAGAATTTTGCCCTGTTTCTCAAATCTAGCTGACCCAGTACCTCAGCTTTAATAACTAGCTTCCCCACCCCTATTACCTCACCTCTGTCTCAGTAAACTACTTAGTTCCATTCTGTCCAACCTCTTCCTCCTGGTGTGTAAGGGGCCTGGACTACTGAACTGGGTCAGGGTATCTAGAACCAGGAATGATCTAAACATGCACAGTTCTGGCAACAATTCATTCCTTACTCTTTTTTTCCCCTAAGATTTTATATCTTTATTTGAGAGAGAGCACAGGGGGAGAGGGAGAGGGAGAAGCAGGCTCCCCATTGAGTAGAACCCAACATGGGGCTCTGTCCTAGAACCCTAAGACTGTGACCTCAGCCCAAGGCAGATGCTTAACCAACTGAGCTATCCTCGTGCCCCACCCCCCCATCCCCACTTCCTTACTCTTGATTTAGACATCTGGGACAAGAGAAAAATTCAATGGTCAGTTCAAGGAGTAAACAGGGAAAAAAGTTGTAGCAGAGGGCAGAGATGATAGATGAAAAGGTTGAGAGAAGGAAGATGTCCCCTAAAGTGACAGAACTGAAGCTTTTGAAAGGGAGCCAATAACTGATCCTCTGGTTGGGAAACAGTAGCGAACAAGTTCAGACCACGTGTTCTTCCAGAACCAAAGCTCTGCCTTCCCTTTCAAAGCAATGACTGCCATCACCAACACACACCCCTGAACTCTGAGCCTCTGCTAACCAGCTCCAGACTTCCCTGAGCTGCCTGCCCACGGATCTAAGTTTCTGAATGCCTCCTGTTCCCACCAATCGTGAAGTACCTCCCATCTCTCAGGACATACTTTCTAGGCTGAACTTGCTTGCTCCTAGTATCTGTAGCTGCATCTATTCTCCACTGACACTTTCCCTCTGCTGGTCTGATCTGATTCCCACATCTCAACTCTCCAGGCCTGCACTATTATCCCAAAGGGAATCAAGTCCCATGAGGCCTCATAACTTGGTTGCTGGTTGAAATTGATATAACAAGTTAGATGGGAGCTCTGTCTGGAAGTACTTGGTCTGTTAACACAACCACCTGCAACCACATGAAAAGTAAATAATCATATTAATGCCGGTTAATTCAGGATGATGGACACCAAAGGAGCAAAGGTTTAGCTAGTCTTGAGCTGGTATAAGAATAGGACTTTAGCTATCAGATGTCAGAAAAATAAGAGAACAAGTAGGTTAATGGATAACAGCTGGCAGAGGTTAGAACAAATCAAGGATATGCCACATCAAACAATCAGAGTCCAGTGACTTAGGTCTGTTCCTGAAGCAACATCTGCCCCACACCACTCTTTGCCAAGGCAGGTTTGGTATGGGAGTGAGCGCAAAGCTTCTTACTCAGGTAAGCAATCACAGGTGGCCATGGAAGGGGCAAGAGTGGCAGAAGGCTCTAAACATCATAATAGGTGTATATGAAGCTTGGTGGAAAGACCACTGGACCAAGGTCCCAATAGACCTGAGTACTGCTCTCTGTGCTTCTCTTTTCAGTGACCTCCATTTGGATCCCAAATCTTGCTTAATGGAGCCATCTTGCTTTCAATTCAGCACCCCTATTTCCTGGAACTTGTTCTACATCCATCTGTCACCTGACTCTCATGACCAAGAGCAGATACTTGGCCCTTTAGGTCTGTTTGGTGTAACAGCATTCTTAGCATACGCCCTCACTGTTAGCAATTTTGGAAACACTATGATCCTTGAGAGTGAACAGCCTGTGTCCCTATCAGCTGAGCCTACGGTCTATGAAGTGCTTAATTAAAAAAAAAAAAAAATCCCGACACAAGTTGGCCTACAGAAACTGCTAGCTAAAAAGACGGAACCAGTTCTCTATATATGAAATGTCCTGGTCATATTAGTATAAAGAGAGATTTTAGCCAAGTGGGATTTTTTTGTTTTTAAATGAAACTTATTTTAAAAGAGGAAGAAATATCACAAAGTCCTTTGAGGACGTTAGTTGTTTCCAATATTGAAGGTTGTCTATTTTCCCACATTCAATCTGTAGACTGAGAACTGTGTACCTTTTTCTCCAGGGAAGTGGCCTCTGCCACAGTTGGCCCCAAAATGTCAGCAATGTAAGCAAATGCTAGCAAAATAAGTCTTCTGCATTAGATAAAATTTTGCCTGCTCTTTTCTCTCCTTTCTCCTTGACATAAGTCAGTAGTTAGCATAAAAAAAAATCTGAATTTCCTAAACACTTGACACATTTAAAAGTCTCCCAAAGAGAGACTTCTCTCTGCACCGGTGAAATGTTGAGGCTTTTCTACAGAAGTGTCTTAACCCATTTTCCTACTGTCTAGTCATCCTCAAAAGTTACTCATTATTTCACTGCCTGCCTCAGAGATTTTATTATTTGTTTTTTTTTAAAGATTTTTAAAAATTTATTTGGCAGAGAGTGTGTGTACAAACAGGGGGAGCAGCAGCAGGAGAGCGAGAAGCAGGCTCCCCACTGAGCAGGGAGCCTGACATGGGTCTCAGCTCGGTCCCAGAACCCTGGGATCACTACCTGAGCCAAAGGCAGATGCTTAACTGAATAAGCCACCCAGACGCCCCATCTTAAACACTTTAAAGAGTATCTCATGTTGTGCAGGATGAAGTCGAGCTCCTCACCCTGGCAAAGTCCTCCATCCAGGCAAGTCACCTAAAGGAACTCATGATGTAAGTCAGAAAGATCTTCTCACTACCCCTTTTAAATACCTTACATACTCCTGATACCTCATGTCCAGTCTGGCCCTTTCTTCTTCCTTTCTACTACCCAATGTTTACATTTTTAAAAAATAACTAGCTAAAATCCTTCCTTCTTCATAATGGAAGTGCCCTTAGCTCAGGGAGCTCTCTCTCGTTATACTTATATTCACTCTCTGTTCCCTTCATTTGGCATGTTGTTTTACAACAAGCCTTGTTTTTTTAACTTGTTTTTCCATTCCACTCAGGTACATATTTACCTTTTCACACTGGATGTTTGACTTTGAGGGCAAGGATCATATCTACCATTAGATTAGCACACAGTGGACTCACAATAAATATTTACTAATTTTAACTGATTGACAGTTAAAAGATGACAACCCTTGCTTTCATCTTTCTCTGTAACCTTCCCTACTTGCTTTTTATCATGAATCATTCCAGTTCCAAAGGCCAACCTTTTCTTTCTGGTTAGAACGTGTCTGGAATTCTATCTAGGTTTTTGCACTGGAAGGATGCTCTCCAAGAGAGACAGCAAAGCTCCAAGGAGTAGTAGGATGGCTCTCTCCGTGACTTTCACCTTTATCTTCAAAGTAAAGGGAGTTCTCTTCCATTAGCATGCTCTGCTGCTGCCTTTTAAGCACTCTGACTCAAGGTGAATAAACAAAAAGGATCTTTTCTTGGGTCACCCTAGCATGGAATGCACAGGCTTCATTAATTACTAAGGGAGGCCAAAAGGAAAACAAAAACAAAAACAAAAAATTAAAAGACATAGATACATATAGATATTTATTTAAAAGACATAGATTTTATGTATATTTATTTATATTCATTCTAAATTTTGAATCACTCTAACATTAGCTCAATTCCAAAGTGCTCAAGACCTGTTCTATTCCACAAGGCATCAGTAGGAATTGGGCCTGACAAGCATATGTTTCAGAAAGGAAATCACAAAGAGGAGATGGAGGGACCCTGGATAGGAGGTTTGAGTAGTAGCATTGAACTTGAAATCTCATTAAATCTTTCTCTCTCGCCAACGGCCTCCTACCCATATCTGTCAGTCTTGCTTGTGAAATAATAAATAGTATTTGCTGAGTGCTTTCCATTTGCTAACTGCTTTCCCTAGATTATCTCATTCAGTCCTCACATTAACTTTATGAGGTAGGTACTATTATTACCCTCGGCAAAGAGAGGATACAGGACATATAATCAATGAGTAAGTGGGCTGTAAAATGTCACTCTTCAGCTTTAAATATTTGAGGAATAGGAAGCAAGAACCCAAGTACTTATGCCTAAAAATTTTTGCTGTCCTTACTTGGGAATAGAGTGGAGACACTATTGATGGACTACCTTCAAGAGCACAGCTTCACCTTTTCAGTCTCAAACAATAATTGTATTTTAACATAGTGCGACAATTGTTGTGGTCAACATAGTAACACAAGGGTCTATTCCTTCTGGTTCTATTCTATCAGTCCAAGAGCCTCAATATTTTTCTTGACATGGTATAATCATGCTTTCTCCCTATCTACAACTATTCCACTCCATTGTTCTTAACTCAAGATAGAAGATCACAAGCCTCTCTTTGTCTTCTTCCTGGAGTGCCTACAATAGTCATAAGATTGTTCAAATGGAGCATGTATGTGACCTTAATAAAAATCCTTTTTCCTCTCTGGGCCTCTGTTTCCTCATCTATAGGTAAGTGGGTTGGACCAGATCATCTCTAAGGTCCCTTGCAACTCTAACATTCTCTGTTACCAAAAGAGAGCAACATTAAATCTGAAAAAGCAGACTGGAGTCTTATTGTGGAGGACTTTGCTGGATTATGGGTCCACTTAATTATATAGACAATAGGGACCCACTGAAGGATGGTGAATAGGGAAGTGATATGATTGGAATTGACTGACCATGACGTTTAGGAATAGGGAGTAAAGGGGAGAATTAAAGAGATCTGAATAGGAGAGATGGGAAATATCATGAGCAGACAAGAGTTTTCTAGGCATGGCAACTACCTAGATACAGAGAACAAAGGAGGACCGGGGAGTCAAAATTGCTGGTGATTGGGAGGTTACTAAACAGAAATAGGGAGGTAGAGAGGAGGCTGCTTTAGAGGGTAACATAATGAATTCTATTTTGTACATACTCTATAACTCAATATCACTCCTACACATTAATCTCAAGAAACTCATGGACCTATATAACAAAATACATGTGGAAGAATGTTTATTGGAATATTGTTCACAGGGCAGCCCCGATGGCCCAGTGGTTTGGTGCCGGCTTCGGCCCGGGATATGATCCTGGGGACCCAGGATCGAGTCCCACATCGGGCTCCCTGTGTAGAGCCTGCTTCTCTCTTTGCCTGTGTCTCTGCCTGTCATGAATATATAAATAAAATCTTTAAAAAAAAAAGGAATATTGTTCATAAAACAATAACCTAGAAATAATTAAAATGTCCATAAACAGGAAAGCAGATAAATTGTAATATAGTCATGCCACGGAATATTATATGGGAGCCAAAACAGATGAACACACTATACTATAGATAAAAAATAGCAACATAATATAAATTAAAAAGTTAATCTCTTACAATCAGCATAATATCATTAATAAAGTAAAAAACAGAGATGCCTGGGTGGCTCAGTGGTTGAGCGTCTGCCTTTGGCCCGGGGCATGATCCTGGAGTCCTGGGATCGAGTCCCACATCGGGCTCCCTGCATGGAGCCTGCCTCTCTCTCTCTGTGTCTCTCATGAATAAATAAATAAAATCTTAAAATAAGATAAATTAAAAAACAATCAACATAAAGAATAAATGTAATTACATGTGTAATCATACATATAATCACATATATAATCCTCTTAAAATTTTTTTTTCTTTTTTTTTTTTAATTTATTTATTTATGATATTCACAGAGAGAGAGAGAGGCAGAGACACAGGCAGAGGGAGAAGCAGGCTCCATGCACCGAGAGCCCGATATGGGATTCGATCCCGGATCTCCAGGATCGCGCCCTGAGCCAAAGGCAGGCGCCAAACCACTGCGCCACCCAGGGATCCCTTAAAATTTTTTTTAAAATTTTTATTTATTTATGATAGTCACACACACACAGAGAGAGAGGCAGAGACACAGGCAGAGGGAGAAGCAGGCTCCATGCAGGGAGCCCAACCTGGGACTCGACCCCGGGTCTCCAGGATCATGCCCTGGACCGAAGGTGGCACTAAACCACTGAGCCACCGGGGTTGCCTTGTTTTTGTTTTTCAATTGAAATCTAGTCAACAGACAATATTATTGTTTCAGGTGTACAACACAGTGATTCAACATTTATATATATTACAAAGTGATCACCACAATAAATCTAGCTACCATCTGTCACCATACAAAGTTGTTACAATATTATTAACTATATTCCCTATGCTGTGCATTGTATCCACTTGTCTTACTTATTTTAGGACTGGAAATTCACACCTTTTAATATCCTCTTCCTATTTCGTCCATTCTTCTCCCCTCTGGCAACCACCAGATTGTTCTCTGTATCTAAGAGTCTGTTTCTGTTTTGTTTTTTAGATCCCACATATAAATGAAATCGTACAGTATTTGTCCTTCTCTGTCCAACTTACTTCACTTAGCCTAATATCCTCTAGGTCCATCCTGAGGACCTTGCAAATGGCAAGGTTGTTGCAAATGGCAAGATTTCATTTTTACTTATGGCTAAGTAATATTCCATTGTGTGTGTGTGTATACACCACATCTTTATCCACTCATCTATGGATAAACACTTAGGTTGCTTCTACATGTTGACTACTGTAAATAATGCTACATTGAACATACAGGTTCATATGTCTTTTCAAATTAGCGTTTTTGTTCTCTTTATATGAATACCTAGAAGTGGAATTACCCATAAGTGGAATTGCTGGATTGAATGGTAGTTTCTATTTTTTATTTTTCCATACTGTTTTCACAGTGGCTATATCTGTTTGCATAGTGCACAGGGTTCCTTTTTCCTCCATATCTTCACTGACACTTGTTATTTCTTATCTTTTTCTTCCTGGCCATTTTGACAGGTGTGAGATATCTCACTGTGGTTTGGATTTGCAGTTTCCTGATGACGAGTGATGTTGAGCATCTTTTCATGTGTCTGTTGGCCATCTGGATGTCTTTTTGGTGAAATGTCTATTCAGTTTCACTGCCCACTTTTTTATTTTTTATTTTTAAAAATTATTTATTTATTTATTTATTTATTTATGAGAGACACAGAGAGAGAGAGGCAGAGACACAGGCAGAGGGAGAAGCAGGCTCCATGCAGGGAGCCCGACGTGGGACTCAATCCTGGATCTCCAGGATCACACCCTGGGTCAAAGGCAGGCGCCAAACCTCTGAGCCACCCAGGGATCCCCCACTGCCCACTTTTTAATAGGATTATTTTTTTTTATATTGAGCTCTGTGAATTCTTTATATATTTTGTATATTATCCCTTTATTGGTGATATCATTTGCAAACATTTCCTTCCATTCAATAGGTAGCCTTTTGTTTTGTTGATGGTTTTAAGTAATATGTATTGATACAGTAGCAGAATATAAATAGAAATTAAAGGAATGATAAAAATAGGATACAAGATGCTTACTTTGGATGCAGAAGGCATTGGGATGCAGTGAGGAAAACAGATATAGATTATTGTCAAGGAACTAGTTTTCATGTTGGATTTTCAGGGGTTTATTATGTTATTTAAAAATAACTACTCAGGGGCACCTGGGTGGCTCAAGTGGTTAAGCGTCTGATTCTTGATTTCTGCTCAGGTCATGATCTCAGGTTTGTGAGACAGAACCCCACATTAGGCTTGTCTCCCTCACCTTCTGCCCTCCCTCCCCCACTCATTCTCACTCTCTCTCAAATAAATAAATCTCTAAAAAAAACCCATAGAAAGTAACTGATCAAATAAACACATAAATTATCATAAGAACAAAATGTATTAAGCATAACTAAATA